GTCCCGCAAACAGTCTCAGTTTGAAGCAAAACAAACACATCTGGCATTCGCTGTCTCATATTTCTGCAGCCTCCACACACACAGCCCCCCACATTCCAGAGACCTCAGTTGTGTCTAAAGAATATTCCCTTGCTCACAAAGATATACTGCTTATTATTAATACAAAGTAATTAAACACACACATCTACTATTCAAGATATGTAGACTTCCCTGAAACATAACATGCTAGAGATCTTAAGCAGAATATACTCTCATCCACCTAGCCCCCTGTCCTGCATACCTACACCTCCCCCACAGAGCAATAAAACCCTGTTTACTCCATGGCTCCCCAGAATGTTTGGAGCAAGTTTAGTCCTCACATTTATGAAAGAATAAAACAGAGAAATCAATATAAAACACAAACACAGGTACCGTTTGAGCAGTCTTCACATACAGCCTTATGGCTCCTGTAATGCATACACACATGAATATATAAAAACACACTTCTTATATATCAGGGAACATTAAGATGAATATACCAAAAATACGCTGTATCAAACTTTCACTTCAAACTTTCAAGTTACTTCAATTTTCCCTCAATTCCTCAACAATATCCCCGGAAGGCAGGAGAGGCCAGACAGGCTCCGGAGCGTGCCACCCACGGGCCGATGGCAGCATGGGCGACGTCCAAAACCATCGAGGCGAGACGGGGTCCAGGAGTGCACTACCCAGGCGTCGATGAAAACGTGAGTGGCGTCTGGAACCGCCGTCGAGGTTGTGAAAAAGGTGAGAGTGTCCACATGAGGTCAACCGGCTGGTCGAACCTCCTCTCCGGCACCAGAAAAAAAACTCAAAAGGGCCGATAGCCGTTAGCACTAGCCGTCGTTAGCCCCACGTGGTTAGCCGCTAGCTGGCAGCCATGGGTAGCTGCCAGCCGTCGTTAGCCCCACGTGGTTAGCAGCCGGGACGTGCAGCCGCACGCCCCGAAGAACAAACCCACAAGGTAGCAATGGGGTTGCTGGTCGACCCAGCAGGGCGTGCCCCGTTGGATAGAAAGCCGATGCGGGAACGGCGAGCAACGTCTCCAACCTTCTGCGGAGCGCGCACCGAGCCTCAGTCCGCGTGCCGGTGGCAGCCACGGATGTCTCCAATCAAACCCCGGCATTTCGAGAAAGGAACTCGAGTTCCTTTTGCCGTGTTCGGCTCCGTCCCGGAAACTTCTCAAGACGTATCAGGGTCACCAGTGTAGTGCCGAGAGATATGGAGTCAGAGGCGGTGCAAGGAAGGTGCAAGAATCATCATCCATATATTAACGGATAACCATTTTTGTTGCATTTTTCTCCTCTCCTCTCACTGATCGAATGGCAAACGCGACCCACTGTCGGAGGGCCTCCGCGCCGGCCCGGCCTAGTGCCGATGCTCTGGCGGTCGGTTCCTCCGAACTGCGGGTTCGACTCTGATGGCCGGGAGGGTGTGCTGCGTTGGGGTGGGGGACTTCCCCCACTCTGCGTGTCTCTTCCTTCCCGGGCCGGCCGATATGAAGCGTGACCAAGACGCACCATTCAGGGGTCCCGCAGCGGTGCACCCGGCAAACACGGTTGTTTCTCGAACCTTCCACTGTTGTCTAGCGGGTGTAACTAAAATACAAGATGTCGTATTTATATATATATAAATAAATATATATCTATATAGATAATAAGTGTCAGTACGATTTTATTTTGTATTTGCGTGCATTTCCTGTTCGGAAAGTGGCGCTGCAGCTGTAGGCTACTGATAGTAACAACAATACAAGGTGTCCGTATATATCTATATATCTATATATATATATATAGATATATACATATGTATATAATAAGTGTCACGATCCGTCAATATCCGATTTTATTTTGTATTTGCGTGCATTTCCTGTTTGGAAAGTGGCACTGTACTGATAGTGGTGATTTTATTTTGGAATTCTTAGCGTACACTTCCTGTCCTGAGAGTGGAAGTGTCCTGAGAGTGGAGGTCTGCACCGGAACTGTCCTGAGAGTGGAGGTCTGCAGGCAGACCCCTCTCGGAGAGGGGGAGGAAAAGAGAGGCTCCGTCCTCCGTGTATTATTCTTATATTATTATATAGAGTCGTTATTCTTATATAGAGTCGTTATTCATTTGTTTTAAAAATCAATGAATAACAAAGAAGACCTTTGACCGGCACTTTTCTAATTTTGTCCGGAAGATTTCAACTTTCAACATGTTGACCGGCGAAACCCCACCTCTGCTGCTAAATCCAGCAGCGCGGAGAATAAACAGAAGGGCAACCATGGAACCATGCATGCGCGAGAAGTCTTCTTCGCTGCTTTTGGTGTATTTTGTGGCAGAAGTACAGCGCCATTACAGGCCCGGCATATGTATTACAGCGTCTCCAGCGGTTCGATCTGTCTCGTGTGGACGGACACGTTTCTGGTGCCTATTGCGTGTGGAGACTTTTTTGATAACGATTTTGGTGCGTTTCCGTTATCGTCCTCGTGTAGCTGCAGCCTAAAAAGGGAGCCTAATCAAACACAAAGGAATAGATACTAACAAACAAAACAAACTAACAAAAGGATGCTGTAAGAAAACACAGCTACGCGTAAGGACAACAGTCAACGTAACACTAAACTAATCTAAACACATCTAATCACAACAACACTAGATTAAATACGGACCACACGAGTTACACACAGTTTAACAGCTTAATCTACACACAAAGAGCAAGTAGCGAGAGGCGTCTGTCCACACATCAGAGCCTTCCGACTGATCGTTGTCCACAGGCTTTGTAGTCGTCTCCGGAAGGTGTGCGCTGGATGTGGGCTGGGATTGGAGCGCGTCGGGCCCGGCATGCTCCAATCACAATCTTCGGGGGCAGACCAGGAGATGGGTAGTCAATGACATCATGGCAACCGCACAGCTCATTTACATATAACACAGGCAAAACAGAGTTAACACGACCGGGGAGGCGGCGGCCGTAACAATCATTAATTTAACCTGCAATTGATGATGTCCCTGATGATTATACCAGCTATTTTCTACTCTTTATATTAAGGTCAGTTTCTTTTTATTTCTTAAATTGCCTGCAATGTCAATTTTAATTTGAAAACACCGACGTATTAATCACTTAAAATCTTCAAATAATCATTGAATATGGACTACATATCAAGACAAATGTCAGGTTAAACCTCTATGGTGTCTGTAAAACAACAATTTTCTGAAAAATTGTGCAAATGTGTAAGACTTTAAACTAGTTATCACTCGGACAAATTGTTTTAAAAGTATTGAAAGATGTGAAATGGTTACTTCTGTCCTCATATGTTGGTTATTTACAGCAACAACTTTACTGTAATTAAATATATTTAATATTTTTCCGATATTTACTGCACCAGCTTGACTAATAGAGTCAGTTCATGAAGCTGTGGTGGCTTTACGGCTCAAATCGTCGGCCAGGAAAAAGTAATTTTATTAAAGGGGACCTATCATGCACAATGCACTTTTGTACGTCTTTTATACATGAATATGTGTCCCCGGTGTGTCAGGGAACTCACCAAGTGTCAGAAAACACAACTCTCTCTCTTTTCCTCCATACCCAGATCTCTAAAAATGGGGCTGCAACGGATCTGATACAGACTGATCCAGATTTGAAATTGTTCTGACGTCAGAAACGGGGGTGCTCCGCCTATATGAGCAACTCTCCACCTATCAGGGGAATGAGAGGTTGCGTGGCATGGTAAGAGCATGGTAAGAGCATGGTAACATGACGCTCGTGCCTCGTTTCCTGAACCTGTGTCGAGAGCTGGAGTTCAATGAAATCTCAGATTTGCCTTCTTAATAGTTTGTTTGGGTCCCTCACTTCCATTTCACTTCTCATGCACTGATTCGCTAAGCTGAACAGCCAATCAGAGTGATTTCTTTGGCCGACGGCCTTTGGCTGACAGCCTACCGATTCAACATGTCGAATCGGCGGCGGAAGGTGTCGGCAAGGCCGAAAAGACACGACGGTGCAGTACACACCAATCTGAGTAGGGCGACACAACGCTCATCGACGGCCCGACATCTATCGACGCCGAAAATCAGCTCGCTGTGTAAGGACCTTAACACCTAGCAACCTGCGTCAAGCCTCAACGTACAGTAACGACATTTCAAGTATTGATATTTTATTGATATTTCCACTTATTTAAAAAAAAAAAAAAAAAAGGTTTTGCATTTCCTGTTCGTCTAAAACACTTATTTATTGTACAGACCCCATGTATGCACCTTTTTTTGGATTGACATTGCTTTGCAAGGACATTATTTGTTATTTCAATTTCAGTCAACAGATGTCAATATTTTACCCTCAAGAATTTTGTACCCTCAACAGATTTGTTTGTATAAAAGGTAATGTCACACATTTCCCCATGTAGGCCTATATTGAAAAGCCAAAATAACAAGATAACTTGAAAAGTAAATTATAAAGATTTCTTAAAGGGCATTTACTTATTTTCTCCACAGGGAGGCGCTGCTCATCAAACTATCAATAGACATTGTAATGTTGATTCAGATGATCAACATGTGCAGGACAATGTGCTCATGTCAACTAAAACCTCAACATGGGGTAAAATGATAAAATCACACAGTAACACTTAATCACCTCATTGGAAGATGGATACATCAGTAGTTTAGACTTGCAGCACATAGGCATTTGGTTTGGTTGTCTAGTACTACTTTATTGACATCTGAAATACATTTTCAGAAATGAGTGACTTTTTGCTTCAATATAACTTTAACTCCTGTAAATTGTAGGTACAGGTGTACATAGTGAGAGGCAAAACACACACACACACACACACACACACACACACACACACACACACACACACACACACACACACACACACAAAGCCTGTCACCTGAAACTACTGTTAGGTATTTTAGTTTCAGCCTTCTCAGTTCAGAATCACATTTCTCTGTTTCACTGTAATATTATGTTCCTCCAGTATCAGCCAACGTTTGTCGAAAAATGAAAGGGACGCTTTTTTTAAAACCCTGTTTTATTGAGACTGTACAGCTGCTTTGGTTTATTTCTTTACATACAACTACAGTACATTCCAATACTCCCTTTTCCCTTTTTTTACAGCGAAACTCTCATGCACATAGAGTAGATGTTGTTGCAAGATCAAAACATTTTCTGAAAGCTTCAGCATGTATTAAAGGAAATAGCTAAATATTTTTAGGATAAACTCTTATTTTCTTTCATGGTGAGAGTTACACCCTCATGTCTGTGCACTAGCAATATCCGGCGGCTGGTTGGATTAGCTTAGAATAAAGACTTCTTTGCACTTTGTTTTAGAGTTAAATTGTATGGTTGACAAAGCCAAGCTAGCTGGTTACCATTGTTTTCATGCTAAGCTAAGCTAAGGTAAGCGAGGAATAAGAAACCCTCCCACCCCCCTAAAAAAATGTGATGGATGAAATGAGGTTAAGGTTGCATTAAGGTCACTGTAAGTCACAGCAGAAGTTTCAGATAAGATTTGGACATCATTATACAGACTATTTAAACATTTATGAGAATCATTTCATTATAAGTAAGAGTTTCTGCCAACAAGAGATCCACTGTAGGCCTATGTAATGAAATATATCATGATCTTGCAAATCACTTTATTTTATTTTAGGTTGAACTAATTAATCAGTCTATTGTGTGGCCTCAACAAGAATGTTGTTTTGAAATTAGATGAACTTTGGGTTAAATAGACGTCTTTGCTTCTCCTCTTGCAACACTTTGGCTTATTTTTTACGCTCCTCGATCTGCTCCACTTCGCTGGACTCATCCACCACTTTGCCATTGATCATGGTCTGGGTGACGACTTTTACAATCTTCCTGGTCCTTATATCAGGTTCTTCTGTGATATGGAAAACAAATCAGGGTTAATCACATAAGTCCCAAAAAGTACATAAAATGTTGTCAAAAACTTTTTCTGATGGAACAACACTATACGGCTATAAAGCTAAAAAAAAAAAAAACACATGTCAGTAATCTTACTCAGTGCAAAAAAATACAAAAGGGATGAAATAGAAGAGAGAGAGTCAGCGAGTGTGCTTTGTATTCTTATCAGATCCTGCAGGTGTGCTAAGTCCAAATCTCAAGTGTCCTAAATGGATAGTCTGCATGTAGGAAAGGATCGGAAACTCCTTTATGCTCCTGCAGGATATTGTCTGCTCTAGTAATATCAAATGGTAACGCGTATTAACGTGCAGACAGTAAATACAATGGTAGGTCATCACAGCAGAAAACACGTCCTGCAGGAGTATCAGATCCCTTCCTAAGTTTTGCAGACTGCATAACCAACAGGAAGTAGCCTATGTCCTCTGGTGTGGTCACTTGACACACACAGGATCTGATAGGGGTGAAAATTAGAAGCTAACAAACCCTTTTCTCTTTTTTATCCTTTGTTATTCATACAACAAGCCAACACTGACAAACAAGCTAGTGTTTTTTTTTTAAAAACAAATAACCTTCAGCAAGATTGTAGAACTTATGAAGAAACAGAAGACTTTATTCAAAATTAGCGAAGAGGGTTTTGTCCTAAAAAAAACTGAACTTACTTTTAGGAGGTGGAGGTGTTTCTTTTACCCTGTAGGCCGAGGAAAAAAACAACGTCATTCAAAAGATAAAGCAGATATCATGTTAACTAACTATCTGATGCACGACATTTTAAAGTTCCACATTTTGGGAAATATGCAAATTCTCTCTCTTGCTTTGAGAATAAGTGAATGAGTGCACTTTATATCCCAGCAAACTCCACTCAATGTACTCCTCTGTAGCTAAATGCAAACATGGGGAAATGACAATGTTTTATTTATTTCCTGGATTATAATCAGTGTTATTTTGCAAGTACTGAAATAATATGTTTACAGTGCATGTCATATACAACAACGGCCCATTGCAGCCTTGGACCTTTTGTCTAACCCCTCCCTCTCACTAATCCCCATTTTGAAACTGTCCTCTGTCAAATTCAGGGGAGCATGCCAAACATGTTTTATCTTTATAGAAATAAACATAGGTACGCTAACTGTGTATTTCTGAGCACTGATCCTGCGACCCTCACTCACGTTTCCTCCCCCTCCAGCAGCCTCCTGTAGGTAGCGATCTCCATCTCCAGGTTCTGTTTGATGCGCAGCAGCTGCTCGTACTCGGTCTTGTTGCGTTGCATGTCCAAACGCAGCTGAGACAGCTCGTCCTCCAGCTGGGTCAGCGTGGTCTGAAGACGGTCCATCTCCACTGAGTACTTGTGCCCCGTTTCAGCCAGGTTTCCTTCCAACACACTCACCTGTGAACAGAACAAACAGGGAGTGATCAGTGACAGTAGGTAATACGTCGTACTATAACGTTTTTATACATTACGAAACACTCACTGAAGCATATTAAATAAGCATCCTTTAGCAGTGTAAGATCTATAAATTACATCCATATGTTTGAAATAGCTCTATAAAACATACATTAATTCTACTTTTAGCTTTGTTTTGGTCTCCACCAACTCCTAGAATCCTTGGCTTTCTGACCTTTTATAGACCAAACAACTAATGGATTGTTCAAGATAATCAACAGAATAATTGACAATGAAAATCATTGTGTGTTTCACTTGTATTTTAAATCATTTCAAAATGTCCCAATGTCCTATGTTGTAGAAATACATGGATACATTTACTGTAATATAAAAAAATGTCAACAGGACACCTTTACCAGATTGTTCACGCGTTATCTGTACTACATGTATACACGATGTTCCTCTGTGAAGTCCACTAAAGCGTCACCACTGTCATATAATGGACACTTTTACCACCCAGCATCACTTTGTCTGTTTACCTACATATGTTCACGCCCCCTCACCAATCAACCACACATACTTGAGACTGTCAACACCATAATATCTCTGCATTCAATACTGTGTGCTCACTATAAGGCAAACATCGATGAGCTATATTTGACTCCATATGATAGTTTGACCTGTGTTAACATGTAACGGAGACACAGACAAAACATAGGCTTGTTTGAGTCTACGTCTTGTTGTCACTCTGATTGATTATCGGAGCAAAATGAAATAGCGGTGTACATTGTGCTAAACTCTCTTTGTTGACAAGGAGAAGACAGCTGTAATCTGTGGATAATGTGTGTGCAGAAGAGAAGAGGTGAGGATGGGGCTGAACTCCAAAGAAGTAGAGAAATACAGTAGTAGCAAAAGATTTGGTTCATTTCTGAAAGAGAGACAACATGGGAAGCGTTCTTCCTGGAAAAATATGTGATTACACTTGTTCGAATGTTATGACTACTTTACCTGCCTCCGAATATTGTCAAGTTCGACCTCCAGAGCTTGCAGGAATCGTCGCCTCTCACTGAGCTCGCTTTGGGCACTACGCAGAGCCTCGTTGCTTTCTTTGACCTCTGACTGCACCGCGTCCAACTGTAGACACACACATACAAAAAAAGTGTTATGTACAGTACAGAGGTCTATGATATTGCAAATAAACATGTATTACTACCGGAATAATAAGAATAGATTCATGCAGCGACAGACCTTCCTGAGGTACCAAACCTCGGCCTCATCCTTGTTCTTGCGCGCGATGCCCTCATACTGGACCCTCAGCTCAGCCATGATAGCCCCCAGGTCAGGGCCCTGAGGCGCGTCCACCTCCACGCTCACCTGCTCGTTGGCCAGACGAGACTTCACTGTAATCATCTCCTGTGATCATTTAAAGAAAGGAAAAGAAACATTAGTGTTTAATGTTGCAAAATCTTAGTTACTATTTACTCCCTGGATATCGCTTAGGCTGCACTATCTAACTTCAGTACCTTAACTTAAGTAAAAGTAGTAATACAACTTTATAAGACGTATACTAAAATACTACATTTGTCAAAGTACCAACGTATTACCAGCAAAATGTACTTAGTTTTATGGAAAAACTATTTTTTATTAAAACTATTGAAAGAAAATGGTATGGTCAAGAAAGGAATTAATGTCAATTTAGATTAAAAAAACTCAGTCAAGTGTTCAGTCTACATCCTGTATACCACACCTTGCAGTCTAGACACACCCGACATGTGGCTGGATGGGCTCTAGTGCTCCTGTTTTGTGTACACAGGTGTCGTCTAGAAGCACTATGGTACCAAAGAAAAAGGGTGTGTCCATAAAGGATAATCTTTCAGATACTGAATACTGTTAAACCCTGGGCTACTTTGTTGCTGATATGAAACTGGAATGTGTTACAGCTCTGTGGTTTTAGATGATATTAGTCATTTTGAGAGGCTTTCATTCATCTTTTGAGATGCTTTAAAGACATCCGACATTTGTACAAGATGACTCTTGACAACTTGTAAGGTGATTATCTTGATGAGTAAACACTCATTGATCATGTCTGACAGGACCTTCACCTCGGTGGGATCTCACCTCGTCGTGATTCTTCTTGAGGAAGTAGAGCTCCTCCTTCAGGCTGTCCAGGTCTCCTCGCAGCGTGGCGGTCATCTGGTCGTGGTCTGACTTAGCTCTCTTCAGAGCCTGACAGTCCCTCTCTACCGACTGGCAGAGTGTGGCCTCCGCTTCCCATCTGCACCACAAACACAGTGAAGGAAAGGAGCCATTCATGTATTTGTATTACATGACTCATTATAAAACTTAACCCAAGCAAAGATAGCTGCTGGAAGTGAATTTGTCTGCTGCATTCCTGTGGTGCATCAACAAATATTTGTTTCCTTTTATGTTATTGTTCGGTGTTAAAATTCATTCTTGACTTTGGGAAGTGTAATTTGGCAAAAGTCATCAAATCAAAGTCCTTACTTACTACATTTCCCCAACTGGCTTTTAATCATGTCACATAGCCTTCAAGGTTGTGTGATGCTCAGAAAAAAGCTAAAAAGTCGAGTACTTTGTCAAATGATAATATAAATCATATGGTTATTTTTCATTGTTTTATATGTATTTATATATTTTTTTCTTGTGTAACACAAAACGATGATATATATCACTTCATGCTTCCATCTTTTTTGGATTAAAAATAGACTTGCAAATCAAATGTGAATATAAGAGGATTCTTTGTTCCAAATGTGCCGAAAAAAACATTTTAAATGTTTCTCTCAAAAGACAGTACGTTTTTGGAGTAAAACTATTTGGAACATTCCTTTGAGACATGGAAGTCACAAACTGGAGGTCATGCAACACGTGCAAACAATTTATAAACTTCTCATGAAATCATCCCAGAGTGGATATACACAAGTGAAAATACCATACAAATATCTGCATGGAAGGTAAACATGCTCTTTGCTGCTAAGGCCATCCATCACTGCCAATTCATGTATCGCTCCTGCACATCAGGTCACAGAAAATACCATCAACACATTGTGAAAAGCATCAGCAGTGTATCCTGACTCCCCCATCTTTCCTTCAGCCAGCTCTGGACTTCAGAAGCCACGCTGTCTCTCTGACCTGCACGATCCATCACACCCTGTGCTCCTGGAGATCTATGCACATGCCTCAGCAGCGTGGGAATGAAGCTCTTATTTCGCAGCCTGACTTAAAGATCACTTATTCACATGGCTTTGCATTTCTGGCGCTTCTATGTTAACAACTCACAGGCAGGTAAAGAAAGGAAGCTCTGTGTGACACTCACTTGACTCTGAAGTCATCAGCCGCCAGCCGGGCATTATCAATCTCCAGCATGATGCGGGCGTTCTCCAGCGTCTTCTTCCTCACCTGAGCAGGACATGAGTGGATGGTTCAGGAAGATCTGGCATAACTAGAAATTATTCTAATAATGTTTGTGCGCTGTTTTATTTACTGTGCAATCAAATGGTCTTAACATCCAGATCTCTCTGAAAATTGTTGAACTGATAAATAAAAGGTTGTATCTCAATATTGCCTTCAAACAAACACTTCAAGGGTAACTTTGACTACACACACAAATTGTTAGTACTTTGAGTGTGTAAGTATGCCCAAATGTAATATTACTGCATTCATTGTTTTGAAGCACTTTATTGAGGGTTAATGTCAACTTGAAGGAGGGTTCATTTTCAATCAACCTAAAATTAGAGAGTAACATCTCTGCCTTGCTTTTGATTTTATATGGTGCATTTACCTAAGCTGGGAGGTTATCTTGAGCCAAGTCTCTCAATAATGCCAACATTTACACATCAAATTATAAAAACATATTTACAAATCCTCATATATGTAAATGTAATATCAATCACCGGGGTGCAATGAAATGCTGCGACAGAGAAATTCTCTGTTTTGGGAGAATATGATCTACAATGACTGACCTCCTGCCCGATAGCATGTGCCTGGGCCATCATCCCGTCGATGTCGTGCCCTTTGGGGGTCCTCTCCAGCATGAGCTGCTTGATCTTGACCTCCAGCTCGGAGTTGGACCTCTCCAGAGAGCGCACCTTCTCCAGGTAGTTGGCCAGTCGGTCGTTCAGGCCTATCATGGTCTCCTTCTCACTGGCTGCGGCACAGAGGCCGTTGAAGGACAGACTGGAGCTCAGCATGTTGAGGCCGTTGCCCATTGAAACAGAGCGGGACAGAGACAGCGTGGCGGAGGACACGGCAGGCTTGGAGCGGATGCTGCGACCGCTGTCCCTCTGGGACATGCTGGAGAAGGAGGGCTGACGCACGGAGTAACTGCGCACAGAGAGGGTGGAGGCCATGGTGTCCACTGCAGCAGATACGTTAATAAGTGCTCTTATGGTTAACAAAATCACTTCACCCATTAGTGGCCTGCTGTTATTCTCCAATACTGTTTTTGAGGAAATATGCTTTTGAAGTATTTTGTCTTTTGTAGAAATATTCCATCAGTGTACTTTTATACAGAGTAGTGCTACAAGACAGTTATTTCCAAATCATTGGTTATCCTTAAAAAAAAGATATTACAAAAAAGCATTTGAATAATCTTGTAGAATTGTTCTATACGAAAACACTTAATTCCTCCATTGTTATACAGTAAAGTGCTATCAGAATCCCCCATACTGTATATTATCAACAATAAGATAGTAAAAAAAAACGTTTGCATAATTTTGGTGAATATTTCTTGTATCAAATATTCAATAACTTCACTGTTCTGCCTAACTCCCAGCTTTATCGTTTCTTAGGTTTCTCTTTTTCTTAACAGACTCCCCTTTGTTCCCTTTAAATAACCCTAATTTATTGATTTGTATAGATTGTTCTCACCGTCTACTATTTTGCATTTAAATTTAATTTAATAAGAAAATAGCAATTTCTTAGCACATGTAAAATGTAAATATGATCCTATGTTAACAGGTAAGATACATAAAGATAATATACATATGTATAAATAATTGGGTTTGGTTTGACCCGGCTTGATGCTGCTTAACTTAAATCAATTCATTTATTTTGAAGTATTCCAGTCAGGCTTACTCTTTGCTTTGCTACAAGATTTTCTTTGACTTCCACTGACAAGTCTCACTCAGCACACGTGAGTGAAATGACAAGTTACATGCTAATTTAATAAAGCATCAGGTATTCCCAGGCAGTCTTCTATCCAAGCTCTGACCCAGATCAAGCCTGCTTAGCTTCTGAGACGGGGCAATATCAGGGGTGTTCAGTTTGGTTAGAAGCACTAAGTCAGCATTCACAAATTATATTTAAAAATGGTACAGTGCCGGCTGCAGATAGAGGAGTAAGTCGTTTGGTTTAGAGAAAGGCTTGTTTTAATAACCACTTGTATTTAGTTGTCTACCTTACTCTGGTTGTTGATAGACATTGTTTTTTAAGAACAATTTGTATATGAGTTATTGATTCCTGACCTTAGAAAATAGCAGTCATAATTGCACAGGAAAGGTCAAGAATTAACTTTCAATCAACCCTTTTAACAAACATTGACAAAAAGTCATTTAAAATGCATTTTAAAGGATTTTTAATGGGTTTTTTTAGATCTTGGTTTCACGTCTCGCTATAGTAATTTTGCATCTCTCTGCAGTCATTTTGCAACAGTCTGTACTCATGCATCTGTCTGTAGTCAATGGATGCCTCTGTGCTGGCATTGGCTTGACTTTCCAAGAAGAAACATCAACAGTCATTTCAGAGAGAGGCTTGGTAGGCTGGCTCAGTAATCCAATCGTCTCTCAGGACAGCTATACTTAATGGAACTTTTGGCTTAAATTGACAATGGTAAAACAAAAAGTGCTCAATACTAAACAGGTTTTCATTTCATGTGACTTTTTAAGTGCACAAAGTAAAAGAGGTATTTATTGGATTCAAGTAATCCCTCCACCTGAGTCAAAATAGCTGTGAAATGTAATGCTTGTATGCTTCTCCGGAGTAACATTTTAAATCTTAATTGCATATTCAGGGACCTAAAGCCATTATTTTATCAATAAAACAAAAAAGAAAAGGACAACATGATACTTACATTGAGCAAAGTTCTTCTGGAGGACTTCTGTTTGCTACTCGGTCAGATTTCCACCCCGATGCTGCAAGTTTAACAGGTGAGTTTGTATGCAGTGGCTCCACTCTCTTTGTTGGGAGGAGCCACTTCTCGTTTGTCCAACCCTACAGCAACAAAGAGGAGGATGCAACTTGACACCTTGAAGGAAATAAGCTGTGGTGCAAATAAACTAGTCAGTGTTAACTAATACATGAAGTTAATTGTCCAATCTGTATAATTCAATTAATCAATCCAAAGGGCAAATCCAACAAAATATATTGTATTTAGTCATGTGATTGAAACCTTATATTGAGCCATTTGATTGAACCCCTGATAAGCTTAATGTAACGAGTATTTCCATTGGCCCATTGTAACGAGCCAATTGATTGGCCAAATGTATTGAGCTATTTTAATGACCCCAATGTACTGTAAGGAGCTGTTTCATTGTCCAATTTGATTGTTCCCTATGATTAGCCCACTGAAACAAGCCATTTGATTGGCCCATTTGATAGAGCCATTTGAATGGCCCAATGTATTGAGTCATTTGATGGGCCCATTTTTGCAGAAATTGTAGGAAGTCTTTTGATTGGCCCATTGTATCAAGCCATTTCATTGGCCCAGTGTATCGAGCGATTTGATTGGCCCAATGAATTGAACCAATTCATTGGCGCATGGCATCGAGACATTTAATAAGCCCACTTCATCGAGTGATTCGATTGACATAAAAATGAAAACGAAAATAAAAATGAAAAAAGTGGATAACTAGCTATAAAATAACAATGGTTTGACCTTGAGTTCCCATGTGTTATATGTGCTCAATTCGATCAAAAAGACTGACTGTTAGAGCCGTATGGCTTTATATTTATACAGTGAGGTAAACCTTCTCAGGCCTCAAAGTGAGCTGTATGAAACTTGGAGAACAATGTAGTGTAGCTAACAGGGTTGAAAACAGGCACCCTGTTGGCTCCACAGTGAGCCTATTGAGTGCGGACACAATGCACTGAGCGCGCTGTGAGAAACCAGCCTCACCTGGGGACAGCCCAGCGGGAGTAAACAGGAACAATGGAGGGACAGAACAAAAAGAAAGTGAAGACCCCTGAGAAATTCAGGGCGTAGGTCCAGCTGAGCTGGAAACCTGATTTATATTCACACACACAAATACACAGACTGAAGCAACTTTTTTTGTACACTTAATACGTCTCACCCGTCTCTCTGTGCGCTCTTGCTGTCATACAGTATGTCATCCCCTGTTACTGTATTGTTAAATTCCTCAGCAAGCATTATTCTTTGTGTAGGATCAGATCTCACATGTGACACTCACCTGGTTTACTGCCTTCAGCCAACTCCACCCACCAATACCACGCACACACACACACACACACACACACACACACACACACACACACACACACACACACACACACACACACACACACACACACACACACACACACACACACACACACACACACACACACACACACACACACACACACACACACACACCACACACACACACACACACACACACACACACACACACACACACACACACACAGATTCAAAACTGGAAACTGCCGACAATAATCTTCAATGTCTTACAGTAAAATGTGTTTCACATGGTCAAACCGAGACTAATTAATTCAAACAAAGTCCCAAAAGAAAAGAACAAATGTCCTGTCTTCTAAAAACTCATGTTAATTGCTAGATTATTGTGCTGGATTGCATATCATCTAATACATACTGGAGGCTACACATCATTACATATATCAGAAACATATATCCTTTTTCAAATAGTGTATATCATCATCACATATTTGTAATGCCTACCAAGTGTAAAACACAACATGTAGCTCCAATGTTTAACGACAGTGTATTAGGATGCAGCGTGGATATACTGCTACCTTGTGGGTAAAAAACACACTACACTTTGTGCAAATGCTGACATGCCAAGAATGTTAGCATTTTGTCTTTTTTTATGATACAAAGTAATATGTGCATATTGGGCATTTACAGTAATATTAATAATATGCTTAATGTGGAATAGACTCCTTGATCCTTATCCATAACACTACAGAGTTAGGCGACAATAATAAACAGGCTTTGTGAGATATAGGCTAACACAGATAATTGCATTGGTTTCATTTCCCTATTTTTTTTCTGCTTAACTGCTTAATAACATACCTGTCCTTGAGAACCTTATGATGGTTAGAGTTATTTTGCATCAGTACAGGACATTGTGCATGAAGGTGTCTTTGTCTAGATTTGTCAATGGACAACATTAGTAAGTTCTAGTACAACAAGAAGAGTTATTTACATTTAGTGAACTATTGTACCTATAGATTATGCTCCTACATTCATTTGATATCTTCAGATCAAAAATATTTGTATTGCGTTTCGACAATGCGTATCCAGTGTTTGTCATTTAGAAATGGAAAGCAAAATATATGCATACAAATGAGACAGTGGTTTGTACTGATTGTGTGTACAAAGAGAAAAAGAAATAACGAATAACACAAACAAACTATTACAACAGCTAGAGTAATCCCCTACATTCACTGCCAGTGAGCCTCATACACACGTATACTCACCAGAAATATTGTTAACTGGATACATATGCATGTACATATACATGCAACATACACAGATACACATACATATCTACTGCATACATACCTATGCTGCAAATAAGCCATACCAATAGCAGATCGTTTTAAAGACTGTGGAATGCATTTGATATCTTAACTCACAAGAAGCTTTGCTCAGTCAAATTAACAACATTCTCACAAATAAATGATGATGTAAACTGGGTGAGACTTACAACCCCCCTGGCATTAAGCCCCACCTTGTAACATTAAAACATATTTATGCATTAATGACTGCAATGCATTCATATAGCTTAAGGTATTTTGATGTTTATAAAAAAGATTTTGAATCCAAGACTTTTGACTTGTAACTTAGTTTTGTGGGTATCTAATTACAATATTGAAAGAAGGCTTGTCTTCCACTGTGAACATCTGAGAATTGACCCATTGTGTAAACTCAATGGTGAGTAATTCCCACAATCCCCACCTTTCAGTGTGCTTTAGCGCCACCATCTGTTTGTAACATGTAGCAAACATGCGTCAGGAGAGTGATTTCGATCCTGCCCCAGCTTCTTATTAATCAAACTGAAGTGCTGTGATAGTTCAATAGTCATTAATAGCCCCCCCCCCCCCCCCCCCAAATAAACACATTCTGGGAATCTGCTGTGGAGACCCGTGTTTATTTTTGCATAGTGCACGGTTGGCTGTCAGCCTGGGTGAAGTGAATCATCTGTTTCAGCCATTTCCTAGCGTTTTGAAAACCTCCTCTCTGCTCTCGTGCGCTACTGTACGAGTCAAGAGAAAGTTTCCTTGTTTATTTCTCAGAATTTCTAAAGCACAGAATGTACCGACGCACAGTTGAGAGTCAATGAATTCATTTTGTCTTGTTTTGGGTTTGTTTGGAAACTTGATACTTGTATAGCCAGGGTTTAATTGTAGGCCTGTGAAATAACCACATTGAAACAAAACACCCTGAGCCACAAAGTAAATTCATTGTGGTACTGCTTGCCTAAAGAAAGGACATTTCACCTAAAAATGTTGGCCTATGTAGTGTTAACCCTTCCTCTGGTGTTTGTTGACGTGGTTCTGCTCTGAAGCCTCAGATTGTCTAGTTTATAGCAACAAATGTAGTCACTCTTTTGTCTAAATGGAGCTCAAATTGCTGGTTTTTCTCGAGTGTCACAGCTGATGGATGACATTACATTTAAATGCAATGTTCTAAGTGATTCCAGAAATAAGCAGCTGTTATTTGAAGAAAACAATATCACATTTATATTGTTGAGAAGAAACCAGAATAAAAGCAACATTCCAGTCATCTTTAAAACGAATTCAAAATTGAATGTACCATTACCCTACTGATACATGTCTTGAATTTTTTTCTTATTTTTTCTCCCAATTGTTGATTTTCTGGCTTGATTTTTATTAAAAAGAACTGAAGGCCCTCTCTACTTTCCCTTAAAAGCTTACTTTATAAGGAGAAATTAAAATGCAAAGTTGTGTATTGTCTGCATACATATTTGTTTCCTTTCCCAAGATTATTTAACTCCTAAAATAGGCAAACAGTATGAAGAAAGCCACGCTGTATATATATTTACCTCTACATAGTCAGCTTGGTGATACAGTTAGATATCTTTATTCATATCATGATGAATATTCTGAAAATGTATTACGCAAATTATCTTTAGTATATCATTGAAACTGAGACTATTTCATGCTCAGCAGCATTCATATCATTTGCATGCCATCATCATATCCTCAAGTGAGGTAGAGGAGAGAGGGGGGTGAGAAGACCATGCCAGCATATGGCAGGGTCTGAAGTAAACTTGAGGAGGATGAGGAGGAGGATGCTGATGAAGATGGCTCACGTTGCAATCTTTCACAGAGGTTTTGTTGACTGTTGTGCAGGGGAGAGCTCATCAGCGTGAAGGAGAGAAATGTGAATGTGCAGAGACAAGGGGCACTGCAGTGTATCTGCTCATTAGGTGGGAGACGCTGTAATTCAGAGAGCGAGCAGTTCTGCAATCAGGGGCCTATTCATTAGCATGGGGGGCCCGCTTTCATCTGCAACCACTTGAAGCTGTCAATCAACGAGGCGGACGCATGACATGATGACAAAACGGGGCGGCTTAAACGCTCAGGGATGCTTGTGCATGGAGAGAAGACATGCCTAAACGCTGCCTGTGTGCTTGTATCTAAGAGGGACTTTAATGGGGAAGAAATGTGCGTTTTTACAGTGTAGTGCTGGCAGGTGGCCCAAACTGTGTCAGCCTGATAATCATCTCTCCGCTCAGCGTATATATACAGCTTTTGTTCTTAGATTTCTCTAGGAGGAGATTGAATTGATTGGAAGTGATTGATTGGAGGAAAAAAAGTTTGGTTTAAAGTTTAGGAAAGATTGAGAGTCCTCTTACGTTAGAGTGATGCTCTCTTTCCTAACACAACTTCCATGCAGAAAGAAAGAAACACATACACAATGATACATGCAGACACACACTAACACACCTGGTCCAGTGTGAGTATCTTAAATTAAATCTCTTAGGGGTATAAGGGAACCATTGTGTGCATGTTTTTATCTCCTGTAGTTCTGCTGTGACTGTGAAGGCATCGCTGGGTCAAACAGTCGTGTTTCCTCCTTCACAAGCAACAGGAGAAACACTGCTGTCACTTGAAACTGTAATAATGCAGATGTGATCTGTCTGAGTTTTGGGTTCCTGCATTTCCTCAGAGACAATGTTTTCAAAACTAATCAAAATGTAACGTGATCTTCATGAATGATGCTTTCAATTCTGTTCTTGACCAGGTATCATAACCTAAATAATAACAACAAAAGCAACTTTTCTGCCAAGCTAATGGTAAGCCAATTCATTTCATGACTGTATCAGCAGCCAGCAGATGGGGATTTACAGATCACAAGCAAAACCTATTGCAAGGTTTTATCATTGGAGAAACATTTATAAATGATCTGTAGAGGCACACAAATGTTAAATGTGTTTCTAGGGTGATTTAAACAGTAGCACAATAACAATATGTGCACACTGCAGAAGGAATTACAATTTTCACTTTTATGTAGCGTCAGAAGACAGGATCAATATATTTATTATATCCGTACATTATATATGAAGCTCGAGTCAGAAGCTTGTTAGATAGATTTGGGAGCTTTAGAGTCGGTGGGTTGCAGATTTGTCCAGAGCCAGGTTAGCTTTTTCCCCCTGATTTGTGTTTTTGCTAAATTGAGGATGAGCCAGATATTGATCCTTGACAGATTAAGAAAACAACTGATGATGCTGTGTCAGATTTGTATAAACATAAACACACAAAATACATAAAGGATGAGTTTAGGTTTTTTTAAGCGATAGCTCAACATGTTGAAATTACACTAGTATGCTTGCTAAGGTAAGATCAATAGGCCATAGCCACAACTTCACTTAGAGGTCCGGTATCAATGCCGGTTAAGGGTTGCTCTCAGGATTTAAACACTGGCAGTGCACGGGGGTGTGCCACTCTTGAATTTACATTAGTAGTAAAAAAAAAAAAGGGAGAATTGATCCAGTTTAAAAATCCAGATGTAATGATATCCTTTAACTTAAAGTATCCCATTCATTCTTCACGTCACAGCCACTTAAGTGCTGTCAATCAATGTAACAACTGTAGGTAATCTGTGTTAAAAGGCCCCGTGAAAGCCAACGAGCTGCCCGATCAATAGCCACGCTTTCACAATATGATTGATCACATTTCCATCACAAGTACAGCATGTAAATTGGAGATTATGTGCAGGTTCGTCGCAGGATATTGCTCTTAATTATAGGTTACTGGAGGTGCTTGGCCCCTGACAGGCGACCTTTAGATTTGTGTAGCTTTTAGTCTAAAATAGTATGGATATGTAATTGCATATCTGTCTGTGGAAATGTGTGTTTGTCCTGACATTTTCAGCTACCCACGCTCGCAATCACGCACGAGTAAATGTAAATGTATCCTCAATTATTCATTTCCTTACAGCTCGGATACACCTTTTATTAAACTGTGGCAGTATTTACAATGTACAATCACTGAATTATTCCATTTCAAGACACATTTAAAAAGTGCTTTTTAAAAAAAGGTTTTGTTCTGAATAAATAAGAGTTTTTTTGACAACACTACAACAACAAACAACAATAAAGCTGCAAATGTGCTCATCACCAATACACAAAACAAATGCTGAGGTTTTACTGTAATACTACAACACTCTTTTCATATTGCAGCAACAAAATAATAATACTTTGTACGAGTGGGTAAACAAAAGGAAAACAATCCTGACCTGATGCAATGTTTTGTGTCCCATCAAAAAGAGGAAAAATAAAAGTGGTCTTCTCAAAATTAAAAAAACTCCCATGTTGACATTCAGGCTGAACATTTCTCCACAGTCTGCTGTCTTTCCAAGACTTCAAAGTTCATGTCAGCAGTCTCACAGCGAAGAAGAATCCAAATGATTGAGAACAGAACGCCGAGGTCCTGCATGCCCGGGGGATCAGAGCAGATTACTGACAGGACGTCCCAAAGGATTCTTTTCACAACAATAGAGTGGTGACGACGCAACAACAAAAAAGGAGATGCTGAAGGTTAGCGGCTGATGGGGAGCTGTGGTAAAGACATGGAGGGATGGCTCAGGTGGCCCGGTGCAGCGAGGACGGAGAACGGATGAGCTGCAAGGAGAAGACCAGAGGAGCAACATTAGTTTGTGGAGCCACGGGTTAAAACACTCTAGTGACAAGTGAAGAAACAGGGGCAGCTTTGTATTCTAAGTCATTCATATATTCAGAATGCACATTTTTAAAACTATAATGCTGTGTTTCAAACTTGGGCCTTCAACAGGTCCAAAATGTCATGTGGAAATTCTTTCAACTCTCCCAATAAAAAAACTATTTACATTTCTAGTGATCTTTATTGAATTCTAACCTTTTAATCACAGCTTTAATAAACATATTGTCAATGTTGGTAGAAGCATTGAGATATTTTACAATAGAAAAAGTAATGATAATGCATAAGATTCTTCATTATTATTATTATTATTATTATTATTATTATTATAATTGTTATTATGCGCTGCTTTCCACCTTCTTCTCCAGTAGGACTCGGATGAGGGTGTTGCACTTTTCCTTTTCTGTATACATGTGAGGTTTTGGTGTTGTTGTTTTTAGTTTTTTGTTGTTGTTGTTTTTTTTTTTGTTTTTTTTTCTTTCCGTTAACAGTCAAGTGGGAAATAATATTTTTTTGTGTTTCTCTTAGTATCCTAAGATACTGTTATGATTGGCTGTGAATACGTTTGGCTGTGAATAAGAAAATATGAAGGGAAGACCATCTATTTCTATTTTAATTATTAGAAAGGGGCAGGTCATATAAGATTTGTTTTCTTCTCCCTGCTCCTTTTCGCTCAATGGTGTGCTTGTAGAGACATGTTTTGTTGGCAATTATTGTACATTGGGTTTTGCATACCATGAGCGGAACAAATAAAAATGAAATGAAATTATAAATCCAACAACATTAACTTAAAAAATGATAGGTAAAATGTATTAAAGCAAAATGACTCATGATGCAGAAAAATGGTTCCAGTGATTGTTTTAGCGCTCCATGATATTTTATTGAATTATAATAAACACGTATGTGGAAGGGTAATTAAATGTTTAACTGGGTATTATAAACTAATCATGTGTCTCTTAAATAAGATTCAAATCTGTTATTTGTAACTACAGCAAACATCTAAATGCAGGGTGAGTTAATAAGGACAATGTTTCAATCAGAAATGTATTGCAATAGAAATAGGAAATTGCATGAAAAACAGATAAAAGGACCTCAAATTTGTACGAAGAACAGCAGATTATTAATTTAAAGATATTGCAGAATGTACTGTTTTTTTAAACAAATGATTGTCTTCTTTCTTCAACAATAACAAGCTTCACAAGTGGCACTGACATAGAGTCCCTAACTCACCGTCCAGGTATCCGTGCAGAGCGAGTAGATGTGGTCGGTCCGGGCTGCTGAATGGTGAGTAGTGGATGTCGTCCGGCAGCGATGGAGGCATCCGGGTCATCGGAGCGCCCTGACAGAAGCCACTCAGAGGCGGCAGCTTTTTGTGTCGTGCACGGCAGTTCTGAAACCACACCTGGTGAAATGATACAGACAATGTAAACAAGAAGCAAGCAGAAGGGAAATAAACCCAGCAACAAACAGTATCAAAACAGGGTTTGAGTCTTCTCACAAGACCCCATTTGCTTTGTTTGTCTGTGGTTGAGGACTTTACCCATCAGATTAATGGTTTGATATTTTAAAGCGTAAAATGAAACCTGCCTTACTTTGACGTACAAAGAACAAAACAATTGGTCAGGGTTTCATTAAACATTTTTAAAATGGCCAAAATCATTGGTTTCCATCCACATCTGAGTAGTTTTCCCAGTTGGATTCTAAAAACGCTTTAAATCAAGCAGTTTCAGAAGTGAACTAAATCACAGATAAACATCCGTTAATAAGTGAGAACATTTGGGAACCGCTAGTCGAGATTTGAAAGATTATGAACTCTGGGGGAATTTGTCTGAAATCTCAAATGATCTTCAAAGAGTGTGAACATCCGTTTAGAAAAAGAAATGCCGTCATCTTTATCTGCCTTAAAAAATAAGTATGTGAGTGGCAGATAATGCATATATTAGATATAATGTTATGCATTGAGTGTTCAAAGCAATGTTTAGAGTATTGGGAAACCTCACAATGGTTTGTGTGTGTACAAACTGTGATAATCTGAGTGATTTTTCCCTTTTCAAAAAGTTTGAAAAGATTTCAGTCCTGAAGAGATAATCCTGTACTGTTCTTCATTCTCAACCTATTCAATTCTCACAACCAGTCTAGTCCTTTTCCCCGGGTTGGAACCATTGCTCTAAAAACTATTGAAATATCATTATGGTGTATTTTTATGTTAAATGTTTCTTACCTGTATGACTCGTCTACTCAGTCCTGTCATTTCTGCAAGTTTCTGTAGAGTCTGAGCATCAGGGTTGTTGTCCTGAGCAAACTGAGACTGCATCACCTGAAAGGACACACAGTCATGATGCCCCACACACACATACATACAGGTGTTTCACTGACAGTTACTAAACACACACACCTGCAGCTGCTCAGCAGTGAAGGATGTCCGTGCCCTCTTGGCTGGCTTTGGTTGGCAGTTCTGGTCAGAGGGCAGCGCTCCCTCCAGAGTCAGTCCTGTGCCTTTAAGAGATCACAATCAACACAGGTCTGTCACTTTACCCACAAGTACATTTCAGTCATCGTGAGGTTACACAAAACAGCTGAGTGATACCTTTCACAGGCCGATCGTGTTGCAGGCAGGAGTTTTATTTAAACAATACATTACATTACATGTCATTTGTTAGACGCTTTTATCCAAAGCAACTTACATACATAGTACTGTGAACAATCCCCACAGGATCAATTTGGGGTGAAGAGTCTTGCCCAGGGACACAACGACATGCTGACTGCAGTGGGACTCGAACTTGGTACCCCCAGAGTCGAAGTCCAGCACTCTAACCACTGAGCCACAGCCACAACCAATGCAACACAATTAAGATGTTTTCTTGCACAATTAAGATGTTTTCGTGCCAACCACCGCACAGTCCAAATAATTTACACCATTACGCCCACATACTCCTCTCTAAAAGCACGGCGTATTGTCTTCTGACTGTGATTACTTTTGGAAAACATTCTTAAATCTTTCCTCTTTTCAAAGCTAAGACACTTTATCTTTCAGTTAACAAAGACCAAACAGGTATGTTGTGTTGAAAATGAGACCATTTTGAATCTATAATCTAAAATTGGTTGTGTTCAAATATTTGTGATGATGTCATCCAGGGTGGAAAAAGGCTTATTGAGCAGAAACCTCGGAGCTCAAGAGATCAAGAGTTATTATTTTGTTCCCTTTCTTGACTCCTAAATATTGTTCTGGTAATCCAGACTGAGGCCATCAGAAATACATGAGCATGTTTAATATAATTGTTACCGTTTTCTGCAGCCCTCCGCAGGTTTTCCAGCATGACGTCGTAGTGGCTGCGGCAGAGCACCCTGCCCTCCACCAGGCCAAACTCCTCCCCTGTCGACAGCTGCCTCTTGCAGGAGAAACATGCAAAACAGGCAAGGTGGTACACGCTGCCCCGGGCCCTCCGCACCCAGTCACTGGCAAACACCTGCCGGCCACACTGGGAACACTTAGTGCCGAACCTACTGTGAGGAAGAAGGAAACAGACAGGTGAAGGTCGGCTATAGGTTACAGAGCTCAGCTTAAAGTACGGATGTTGAGTATCTCAAGGTTCAAGGTTCAAGGGCTTTATTGGCATATGCACAGATGCTACAGTGTAGATATGGCAATGAAAATGTTAAGTCCTGCAAACTAATTGCAAACAAATCTGCAAAAAAACAAACCCTTTTCAGTTTTTAGATATGTCTCTTAATCTGTCCGTATACTTCTTAATAAATTAGGTTTCTTTGTCTGCAATCATGCATTCATTCTCCCTATAGTCACTATTTTTAAAGTTATATGAAGAGGACTGAGTATTCAAGTATGGCACTCAGTTCAGTCACATGTCGTTCGTGATATGTGATTGAAGTCAACTTAATTAAAGAATGCAACATGCAGAACATAAAGGTCCTACAAATATACCATTTTGCTACTATCAAATTATCAAAACTCAAGGACAGGAAGTCCACTCTGCTTAGTTGGTAATGCATTTAAATGGATGGTTGTCTTTCTTGATATTAGAGTCTGACAATCAGTGTTAAAACTATGATCTTGGTTTTCTGTGATATATTATGTAAGATCTTATCAACCAAAAGCCTGTAGCCACGCAGAACATATTTTTCATGACCCAGTGTGTGTTATACTTGATTCCAAAAGTTCATGTTTATAAAGATCAGCTGTAAAAACACCCAGAATAATAAAACAAATTAGATCAAATGTATCAGTTAAAAAAAAAACGTTTTTATAAACACCAAGGTATAGGAGCACTTAAATACAATCCTGCATAGAAAAGATTATCGTTTTCAAAATCATGATGTGTTTATATGCACATTTGTTTTGTCTATAGCTTTTTATCAATATGAAAACAAAAGTAAGGACGATCTTCAGGCATCGCAGGTCTACTAAAACCAATTGGTCACAGAGAGCTTTTACAGATTTGTGAGGATTCGATGGAAGTTGTTCTAAGATACAAAAACTCAGTAGGCTATCAGAGATCGTTATTTTATTTAATTGTCTAATATCAATATACATTTAAGACATCTGCCGGAAAAATGCTTCGAAACGACACGTATGAACCATAGCTAATAGCTACATTTTCGAGGATACGTTAAAAACACATTGTTAAAAAAACGAACGGAAAAAAACTGAATAAATCAAAAGCACTAATGAATTGAACCATGTTAAAAATAAATTGAATAAGAATATATTGAGGCCTATTACAATAATATGATACATTTCTTTATATGCAGTGACTTCAGTGAATTAAGTTATTATTACACTCAACAGTTTGCCTTGATTTAAAATGGCATTTGATTAAAAATGAACTTTACCGATTATCTTACAATAAAAGCCTGTAAAATCGTAATGTTTACATAAAGCTCGCGCTATAAATACAATCAGTAAACACATTTTGTTTGTATAGGCTACCTGAGATAATCCAGTTTGCAGTAGATTTCTTTGTTTTTAACGTAGCAGCTGTTGTGTTGGCGCAGAGACGCTCTGCACACGGAACACTCCAAACATCCCAAGTGCCAGTTCAGGTTGTCGACCTGCATGTGGAGATTAAAAACAATAACTAACAGAGTTATGCACTTTTATTTTATAAAAACTAAACTGTGGGTTTCGTTCACAGATTTACAAAAAAAAGAAAGTGACCTCAGATGAAAGAAATGCATTGTAAAGCTTGAGTAAAATTATCGAGTCATTTGCATATTTTGAGTGTAGCCTATTGTTGCGCTTTTGTTGAGATCAACCTGAGTAAAGAATAAAATAAAGAATAAAAGAAAAGCTACAAACCAAATTAAGAGAGGAATATTTAGCTTGAATCTCACAAAGCTTCACACATACATTTTTTCTTCTGATTCTTCTCTTATTTCTCACCTTCAGCAGGTACCGGTCATGGATCTCCATGCCGCAGCTGGCGCACTGGTTCTTGGCCGCCGGAGGAGAGCAGAGGCAGGCGGCCTCCGACGGACTGCACTCCCCGGACTCCTTCTTCACCTCCGACTTAGACTGAGTCAAAAAAGACGAAAGAGACGAGTACATTTGATCGTCTCTTGAAAACTAAAACAAATATATTATATTAGGCCTGGGCTAATATATTTAACAGTAGTGTCCCTGCAATAAATAACATTAACTATTTCAGACCTATAATAGCATAAAGACCAAGTGTTGGAAAAAAATACATATAGCCTAATACAAAAATAATTAGCCTATTGTATTTCCACAGGTTAGGTTTTTTTTATCCAATGAATATTATAAATATGTATTATAAGCGTTTTCTGTTAAATTATTTGTGCACACATCCACTCATGCGCTTGGAGAAATCAATATGTTGAAGTTTAAAATATATATTATGCCAACAATATTTATTCTTAAAATGTTGCATTATGTGAACCCTAATCCGCAAATTGGAGTGAATACATTGATTTTCAGTGGCCACTTTCCCGATAATGCAAGCATGCAGCCTTTAGTCTAACATGATTAAACCTGAACCTCTGCCAAATCCAAAGTCCTGCGGAAGGTAACCGCGTGTAAAAAGGTTCAGGGGAAAGAGGAATGAAAGAACCTTACACAGATTGAAAGACAAATAAGTGAAAAGCTGCAAAGCAAACTCGTCCAGATGTTTGTGACTCACCATTTTCGGGTCTTGAACGCTGCCTATTTGGAGAGAAGATGGAGCTTGCTCTGTGCATTACGCATCTCTGCCCCAACCCACACTATATCCGGTCCAAAACAACGAATAACAGTTTCTCCTGCATTTAAACCCTGGCAACAAAACAGATTTTGAAGCAATTAGAAGAAGAAAAAACCTATATGTGATCGATCATTCCTCTCGTGCGCAAAAGGAGGCTGTATTCCCATGCAATCAAACGCAGTGAAAAGAAAGGATGGCACTATATCTGCAATTAGCGGTGGATTGAAATGCTTCGCGTGATAAGTGGCAACCCGAGTGTCAATTTCATCTGGCAATCAAGAAAAGGCAACCGAGCCACCAAGCTAAGGGAGGAGAAAAAGCGGCACATCCTAATTTCAATAGCTGTATAATCGAAAATCGAAAAATCTCCAAAGTGAAGAGGCTCAATTGGAGATCGGTCTATTCATAACAGACAATGTGCAGAAACTGCAGCTGATCTCGAGGAATAAAGGAGCTTGATTGTCTCGTTCTCTTGATGGACCCATTTAAACACTTGAGGCTCCCCTTGGTGATTACAGCTGCATTCACAAAATGCCAAAAAAAAATGCGTTTGGGTGGCAATCCGGAGTCCGTGTTGTCCTTCCTTCGGTTGAAATTAACAGGAATGCAATATTATGTTAATTACCAGCTACGGTATAAATATTGGAGGCAGTGAGATAAGAAGAGGTGGCCTATATGGGAAGACAAAAACATCTACTTCATACATGGAAAACCTCCCAAAAGCAGCGAAAACATCGTCCAATAAAAGTTTCTCCAGAACATCACAGGTAAAAGATCCAAATAATTCCGCGAGACATTGTTCTCCATAAACTTCGTGGGGATCAAACCAGTGTGAGCTGTAGTGTCCGCTGTGGTTCCCTCTCCCCGCCTCGACTCAAAGTGTACACCCAGTTCAGTCAGACAGGATGTGATGCTGCCCATTGGACCAGACCCGCAGGTTTACCATTCTTTACTGAAGGGCCATACACATGCACATTTGGGACCTGAATTTATAAAATAAATAAAAACGAAAATAATGGGGAAAATCTGTCTGGAAACGCCCACTTTTCATCATATAAATGTATTCTTTTCTGACATGATGCGGTTGCAGATGAAGAGCAAGTGTATTGAAATCACTTCTGCTGATTGCAGTGATGGAGGGTGAGTGGTGTTAAGATAATGATGAGAGCTATATAGCTGCTATTATCTATCCTATAATTATTTTTTACATGATTTTAAGCACTGTTATTTACTTTTTTTCTGTTCAGTTTGGAAAAGTGTCACATAATGCACATACTTTTGTTATTTCGTGGGATTTGCAAATAAGTCCCTTTCACGTTCATGAGGATTTAAGTGCCGTTTTTAGCTTGAGCTCGTCTGATTCATAGAGAAGTTAGGTTGTGTTTCACGGAAAGCGAAACAGTTGACATTTCAGAGATTTTTTCGTAACAACTTTAAGTTGCTTTTCTTTTGTGTTGAAGGTCTTACACTAAAGCCACTATAATTATGAAACTCCCCACACCTTCTAAGTGGGAACAGATATACTTAAAGTAAAGGTTTCCATGAAATCAATGACACTTTAATTTTTATTGATCACTTAAAAAGCATCTCTTACTGCAGAATTGCATTGTCTCAGTCTCTTTGTATTGTGAGAGTAACACACTTTGGCGGGTAGGTGCATTAACTGTAATTACCAGATGGAGAAGGGTCAACTGGAAGTGGGCTGGTCAAGATGAAGGAGGGCTTAAAGGAGGAAAGAGTGTTATTTCACCTCCATCATCATCAGTCTTCAGTGATAATGATGTGCAAGAGTGAAGGGTTTTGAGCAGTTTAGAATGTTAGTTTTTATCTATTTTCTTACCAGTGTAGGCCTTTCCAGAGAATGTGCATTTTTGAAGTTTGAACCTGGGTAGATATAAAGCAATAAAGCTGTGGTTTGATGGCATTTTCATCCTTAAAACTGCACACGTATGAAAAAGCCTTACTTTTTGCCTTACCACAAATGTTACTGTTGTGAAACCTGCAAACATGTTTTTATCTCACCATTAACTAAGGCAAGGGTTTTGTCAAGATTAAGTTTAAGATAATCGCAGATAGTAAAAAATATAGTGAGAAAAGATTGTGGTCGTTAAAAAATAATAAATCAGCCTGATGTACGTGTATAGCTCTCTTCACGACACAGACACAGGTCGGTTCTTTAAAACGGGAGTTTATTTCTTGGAGTTTTCATCTTGTAGCCTCCCCTCTTCCGCTACGCTGTGAGAACTACAACAACAAATTACACATATACATAGCCAAATACATTAGCATAGTGTGCTACACATGAGGCTCTGGCCCTCAGGTGGTGATGCAGCTCTTCCCTGCTCCACCCTCTGGTCCTCAGGTGGTGATGCAGCTCTTCCCTGCTCCACCCTCTGGCCCTCAGGTGGAGATGCAGCTCTTCCCTGCTCCACCATCTGGCCCTCAGGTGGAGATGCAGCTCTTCCCTGCTCCACCCTCTGGCCCTCAGGTGGAGATGCAGCTCTTCCTTGCTCCACCCTCTGGCCCTCAGGTGGAGATGCAGCTCTTCCCTGCTCCACCCTCTGGCCCTCAGGTAGTGTTGCAGCTGTTCCCTGCTCCACCCTCTGGCCCTCAGGTGGAGATGCAGCTCTTCCCTGCTCCACCCTCTGGCCCTCAGGTGGAGATGCAGCTCTTCCCTGCTCCACCCTCTGGCCCTCAGGTGGTGTTGCAGCTGTTCCCTGCTCCACCCTCTGGCCCTCAGGTGGAGATGCAGCTCTTACCTGCTCCACCCTCTGGCCCTCAGGTGGAGATGCAGCTCTTCCCTGCTCCACCCTCTGGCCCTCAGGTGGTGTTGCAGCTGTTCCCTGCTCCACCCTCTGGCCCTCAGGTGGAGATGCAGCTGTTCCCTGCTCCACCCTCTGGCCCTCAGGTGGTGATGCAGCGCTTCCCTGCTCCACCTTTGGGCTCCATGATATTTACTCCAGTGAGCTCACAGGTTCCTGTCCTGGTCGCTGCTCCACAGGCTCTGAATGCCAGCCTCTCTCTGCTTTTCCTGCTCCTACTCCTGCTCCTACTCCATACAGCCAAACACTGACCCACAAAGTACTGCCCAACACGTGTGGAGGTGTGGGAGGTTTGGGACAGCGGACACTGGACACAGCCAGTACAGGGAGTAGTGAACTACATTGTGCCAAAGGAGCAGTGGTTGGAGGACATAACAACATGTATATCCCCCCACCAGAGGCATGGACACTGGACACTTATTTATGTATATAGTTCGGTGTATAGTTTGATATTTATTTATATATATGATATGTATATATTTTATTTAGTTTATGATAATGTTTATTTGATGTTAAAACTCATTTAGAGTGTTATTTGGTTATACTGCACCTTACTTACTTGTATGGGTTGTTTTACATTTTATTAAGTTGAACTACTTTAAGATAAAGATTTGGTTCTATCAAGTTCGTGACTGTCCAATAATTGAGTGGAGTGTTATGTTTAGAATTTCTATAGGTTTTCTTTTTGTTTGTTAAAATAAATACATTATAACACCAATACCTTCTTAGTTCATATTCAATGTAATGGTTACATTTAAGTGTTTATCCACAGCACACAAACCATGAGCAGGTCCATATTGGGTACTTCAAAACTATCCCTGATAAAGAAAATAATAATAATTGTATGTAATAAACTTGAAAGAAGTAGATAAGTTTTACTTAATATTTATTAGAAATATATCATATTTAATAGAAATGTGTGAATAGTTAACTGCATAACACAAGTGTTATTAGTCAACAAACGCATACGTTGTTGGTCTTTATTAAAGTACTTCTGTTTATAAATACTTTTAAATGCTACAGAATGGAAACAGGGAGCAAGAGAATCGTTTTTTTTCTCCTCTTTTTCCCTCTTTTTTCTTCTTCCCCCTTCTTCCCCCTACTTCTCCTTTCTTCCCCCCCCCCCCTTGCAGGACTATTGTTCCCCAGCTTTGGCACAGTGGGTTAGTGCGTTGGTGTTCGGCTCAGGAGGTCACAGGTTCAAACCCCACTGCAGTCAGCATGTCGTTGTGTCACTGGGCAAGACACTTCACCCCAAATTGCTCCTGTGGGGATTGCCCACAGTATTGAGTATGTAAGTCGCTTTGGATAAAAGCGTCTAATAAGTAATATGAATGAAAATATATAAAAGAAAATAGGACACATTAAAACAAATAGCTTGTTGGCCGCTTGTCGTGAAAGGAGATTAATCTTAAAAGTTCCTTTTCCGAATAACCTTGTCAAAATTATAACTTTGTCACAGACTTCAGCAGAGCTTCAAATAAAGACGTCAACCCACGTTGAGTTGTCCAGTGTAAAACACACAGTTAGTACATGAACAAACATTAGTTCCTAGGCACAAGAAACAAGAAACACTTACGCATATTGGTTTAACATATAAAACAAACTGTATTAAATCATGCCATATTTAACGATTATATAATATTACATGAAATAAAGTATTTATTTATCGAATTTAACTATGAAATTAATTGTGTTATTCTTTTTAATTAAGGCAACTTTGTTACATCATTTACACTCCCACCAAATCACTCATGAACTCAAATGTGGGATTTTCGTTAAAAAAACAGTCAAGTGTTTTCTGTGTGTATGACTATACTCTAATGCAGTGGTCACCAACCTTTTTAAGCCCAAGATCACCGACCTCGGCCTAGGTGAAAGGCGAGATCTACCTATTGCAGAATTGAGTGAGAAAGACGGCCCAGACAGTGCTTCCAATTTGAGGCCTTTTATATAGGCTAATTGCATCTGAATTACTGGCTCCATAATCAGCTCACGGCATATACTGTAGGCAGGGGTAAAGTGCTATTTTTTATGAGTGGGGGGCGGACCTCACCTCCTCTAGGGGGGTCCTCACCTCCTCTAGGTCCTCACCTCCTCTAGGGGGGTCCGGGGGGATGCTCCCCCGGGAAGATTTTTTTTTAAATATTGAAGTTGAAAGCATCAATCTGGTGCACTTTGAGAGCAACATGAAGAGATCTATGGATACCTCTCTCAGCACCCATATGAAACAGAACTGTAAACAGATTTTCTTTTTCTTTATGGATATTTTACAAATCACTCCCCTTTTAAACTGTATTCTTGTTTTACTGCCATATAGTATTTCATACCTGTTTTTCATTTATTCTCTTATTGTTTGTATAACTATAATGATCATATGAAGGTGTGCCGCGGAAATAATCTTTTGAATAATTTGTGACAAAACCGTTCTAAACACTCAGCAGGGTCGGCTCTAGAACAAATCGAATGGGGGGGCAATCATTTACCAAGGGGGGGCACACACTGCCGTCAACAACCAACACACAAACACCAACGCAACTTCAATTTCAAAAAACATGCTGTAAAGTCTATTGTCTTTCACACACATTGCAGGGGTGTAGTGCTATTGTATAGCGCACCTATGACTTGTGCATACATGCACGGTTGTGGCTGGCACGACCACCAAAACAGAAACATATAAGGACAGAGGGTGTCGTTTTCTCATACTGATATTCTGCACAAACTGTGCTGTTGTATTTGCTGTAAAGTGTCTTTACTGTAGGTTATTTTTTATTATATGTACAGCACTTTGGCTCGACCAAAAATCGTTGAAAAATGTGCTATATAAATAAAACTTGATTTGATTTGATATGGACATAGGCCACCATATAAAAAGTGTGCAAATGTATTTAGTATCCTATCCATGTGAACATGTTTTAGGTGGGGGTGGACCTAACCTCCTCTAGGAGGGTCTGGGGGCATGCTCCCCCGGGAAGATTATTTTTAAAATATTGAA